TATATTTATTTTAGTATTTATATGTATTTTAAGGCTTTAGAAACCCTTCCTTACAATGTTCTAAACTCTTAAACCTACATCATTTTAACAACATACATACAGTACTGTATATGTAGCTACTAAATTTTACTCACCAGCTCTGCAAAACAGGAGCGGCTCTCTGTTCTGGTCCGACTCAGTTCGTGTCTGCAGACGTAACCTGTAGCAATGAAACCCACAGTCAATGTTATTAATTCTTAAACCTTCTAATTTTAACAATATACTTTATATGTAGCTAATAAATTTTGCTTACAAGCACGTCCCCGCTTGGAGGTCCGCGTGGGCCAGCTGAGAGCTCTCAGGTTCAGGACAGACCTTCTGTTGGTCAGCATGGGACCGTAGTTGATTGAGTTCTGGTCTGGATGAAAAAAGTCCAGATGGGCTACAAAAACCACTCCAGACCTTCAATGCACATCTGCTCTTAGTAGTTCACGTAGGTGGGCCACCAGCTCTCAAGATTCACTGATGGATCTGGAGGTCTGGTTCTGCTCCGGTTCCATGTGGCTTCTCTGCATGTGCTGGGCGCCTTCAGTTCAAAACTTTACCTCTAGTATTTCAGCAGAAGGAAATGGGGCTTCTGAGCGGGGCCCTATTGCCTTCTGGGAATTGTGGTTGTTCTGAGTGGGAATACAGTGGAGGCTTACTGAGAGAAAACTACAAAATGGAGAAGCTTGTCTGTAGTATTTTATTTTTTCCTTACCTTTTTACTGTACAGTACTGTATCCAGTACTCTCCCAATCACGTGAGTAATATTGAAGTTGACAATCACGTGTCCTGTACAGTTTTTTAATTTTATTTTGTACAATATTATGGACCATAGCATTGAAACAGCTCTAATAAAAATAACTAATGACCTTCTTCTTGCTGCTGACTCTGCTCTTCTGTCTATCCTCATTTTACTGGATCTAAGTTCTGCCTTCGACACAATCTGTCATTCTATCCTCCTCAACAGACTAACCTCCATTGGCATCTCAGGTACTCCGTTAGACTGGTTCAAATCATATCTCTCTGACCGCACTCAATTCATTCAGCTCAAATCCTTTCATTCCCAGTCATCCCCCGTCTCCACGGGTGTCCCCCAAGACTCTGTCCTCGGACCCCTCCTCTTCATCATTTACCTCCTTCCTCTAGGTCACATCTTCCGTAAATTTGGTGTCCATTTTCACTGTTATGCTGATGACACACAGCTCTACTTGTCAACAAAACCAAACTCCACCCACCCACCCTCCATCCTCACCGACTGTCTCAATGAGCTAAATCACTGGTTTTCTAACAATTTCCTACAACTAAACGGTAACAAAACAGAAATCATTCTTGTCGGTACCAAAAACTCTCTTTCAAAATCAGAAAATCTACTCATCCCCCTTAACAACTCTCTGCTATCCCCCTCGCCTCAGGTCAAGAGTCTTGGTGTCATCCTCAACACCACTCTCTCCTTCACTTCACACATCAACAACGTCACTCGGTCTGCCTATTTCCATCTCTGAAATATTAACCGTCTCCGCCCTTCTCTCACACCCCGCTCCACAGCCATCCTTGTTCACAGTCTTGTGACTTCTCGGATTGACTACTGCAACTCCCTTCTTTATGGCCTCCCCAACAAATCTCTCCAGAAGCTGCAATTGGTCCATAACTCAGCTGCCCGTGTCATCACTCAAACCTCCTCCTATAACCACATCACTCCTGTCCTGCAGCAGCTCCACTGGCTCCCGCTTAAATCACGCATCGTCTTCAAAATTCTTCTTCTCACTTTCAAATCTATCCACAACCTTGCCCCTCCGTACCTATCTGACCTCCTACACATCTCCATCCCCTCTCGCTCTCTCAGATCCTCCTCTTCACTACACCTCCATGTACCCTCTGCCCGCCTCTCCACCATGGGGAGCAGGGCCTTCACCTGCTCTGCTCCTCATCTCTGGAACTCTCTACCCCCTGACTTACGAAACACCACCTCTCTTTCTATATTCAAGACTGCTCTGAAAACACATCTCTTTAGACTCGCTTATCCTTAAATTTGATTTATGCATTTTTATATTCTTTATGCATTTTATATTCTGTATGTATTTTATTTTATGTAATTTATTCCTGTTGATCTTTGTTCTTACTCTAAAGTGTCCTTGGGTGTCATGAAAGGCGCTTTTTAAATAAAATGATTATTATTATTACTATACATTCACAAACCGCGATGGAGCGAGTCCGCGGAAGTCGAACCCTGAAGTAGCGAGGGACTACTGTGTACCATTTAATGGTATTACCGTCTAGTTCTAATTTATCCATTAAAGGCATATTCTTGTACCTTTTTATTGGTTAGGATTTATTCATTTTGATTTATGTGACAATAATGTCATGTCTTCTCCTTTGTCTTGTTTCCAGCACACACAGACAGCACATGTCTCCACTGCTGTCGTCCCTGTCCTGTTTGGTTGTCTACCTCCGTCAGCAGCAGCACTTGTCTTTCCTCTCTTTAACTCGATCTCCTCACTCCGCCGAGGCCTGGCGGCTGCTCTGCCACTCCAGCCTCTCCCTGCTCATCCTCTACAATCGACACCGGGAGTGCGAGGTGGCCAAACTCACCATCCAGGACTACCGCAGCCGTATCGCTCCCCAGTCCAGCTCGAGCACCGGTCCCCCTTCTGGAATGGAATCCCTCCTGTCTCCTTTTGAACGGCAGGTCCTGTGCCATCTCCCACGGGCGGGCGTCTTAGGCAAGCGCGGCCGCGTTCAGCCGCTTATTCTCCCGCCGCAATGCGAGTCCTGCCTGGACTTACTTCTCCGAACCAGCCCCAACGTCGGTGTGGATCCCGAGAGCCCCTATGTCTTTTCCCGGCCCTACCACTCCCCTGCTACACCTCTCCGTGGTACGGACCTGCTGAGGAACTTGGCTCGAACTAGCGGGGCCAAGAACCCCGTCTCTCTGACAGCAACACGGGTGCGACGGCAGGTGGCCATCCTTACCCAGCTGCTGCTATTGGACGAGGGCGAAGGTCAGGGCGCAGCCATCAAACGGCTGGAAGACTTCCTGGAGCGGGAATACCACGTGACCCAGAACTGCTCCGCTATCATACGAGACCCAGCGCTGATGGGTCGTGTAGGTCGCGTAGTTCTTTATGGAGAGAGGGAGGGTGTGCTGTTCAGGGGCATGAGCCTGCAGGACATTTGCCTCGAGTTAGACGGTAAGGGAAGTTTTTGTCAACAGTAGAAACAAACTGGAGTTTTTTTGGTAATTCAAACTGTATTTTACACTTAAATCCCTGTTTTCAGACGTCCGTAACAATTATTCTATAATTAATTATTTATCTTTACATGATTCAGTAAACGAGACGAAGGAAAACTTTGGATAATTCTGCAGTCTGCTGTACCTACAATTGTTTTTTTCCACATGTTCAGCTTTTCAATGACAAATGAGTAAAAATACAGTAGTCCCCGATTATCGCAGGGGTTATGTTCTGGACCCCGCCTGCAATAAGTGAAAATCTGCGAAGTAGGGACGTTATATTTATTTTAGTATTTATATATTTAAAGTCTTTATAAACTCTTCCCACTCTCTTGCAATGTTCTAAACTCTTAAACCTACGTCATTTTAACAACATACTGTACAGTACTGCAACAGTTTACCCACCAGCTCTGCAGAACAGCAGCTCAATTCTGGTCCGGCAGACCTACCCTGCTGGTTCTGCTTCGTTTCTGCTTGGCTCTCTGCAGCCCTTGAGCACCAAGACACTTTGGGAAGGATCTGAACCTTCGGCTGGCCAATGTGGTCCCGATGGAACCCAAATCCAGATGAAAAAAGTCCTGGTGGGCTCTGGAGAGAATGCCGGACCTGCGGGCAGCACTCAGGTTCACCATTGAGTCTGGAGGTCCGGTTCTGGTCGGTTCCATGTGACTCTGCATCCGCTGGGCACCGAAGTCACTGTATAAATAAAGACCACACTTTTTCAGATCGGATCAAATCTTTCCCTCCATTTCAGCAGGACAAAAGGGCTTGTGAGTGAGGCACTGTTGGCTTCTGGGAAATGTAGTCATTTTGAGTGACAATACAGTGTAGGCTTATTGAGAGAAAACTACAAAATGGCGGCGCCGGTCCCAAGTTTCTTTTGCGTTAATTTTTTACTGTACAGTATCCCGTACAGTCCCAATCACGTGAGTAATATTAAAGTTGACAGTCGTTGAAAAACCGTACAAGAGCGAGTCCGCGAAAGTCGAACCATGAAGTAGCGAGGGACAACGTGGGACGTTACCCGCAACAAATAAATGACAACTCAGTTCCACTCCAAATTAAGATCAATTCACAATTCAGGGTTAGGTTTCAAAATCATTAAATTTACAAAAAGAAGTTTTATTTGTTGTGTGTTGTTGCATTTTTCTTTAACGGTTAACGAGCGACTGCTTTTAGAGCTTTTTGTCAACTTGTGACCTGTATTGATTTATTATTTGTGGAGCGATGGCGCAGAGGTTAGACAATACGAGCATGTGATTAAGAGGTTGCAGGATCGAATCCCTGGACTGTTACAACTAAATAGGGATGGGAAAAGTAAAGCACCTGACTCCACCCTCAATTACCCCGCCGTGGGCCCTTGAGCAAGGCCCTTAACTCCCACTCTGCTCCACACTTGTAGCCCAATGGTCTGTGGTTGCTTCGGGAAGGGCAAACACAAAAACAATTGCTAAATCTTCATGCGAGGTCGCTCGATGTGGCGACTTCATGACGGAATGAACCAAAAGAAAAAAAATTATTAATATGATTCAAAGTGATTATTAAATACAATAATGTTTGATAAAGTTCCATAGATTAAATTAAGATTAGTAGCAGCTTAATTACAGCATTAATGTAATTAGAGGAGTGTTTTTGTTTTAATATTTTATTGTTCTTTCATGGTTTTAAGATTTCTGAAGCAAGCCAACTAAATCTAAAACAAGTTACTTGACTACGAGGTCCCACATGACATGAAAGCTATTATGGTTGTGTTTTTCGGTAATTTATTGACACTCCCGAAGCGAACCACTGCAGCTCGGAGGAGGGAGCAGGCAGAAGGTAGCTTCCTGAAATCAGACTGCCTGCATCGGGTCAAACGGGAGGAAGACACCGCTGAATCCACAGAGCTCGAGTGTCCATCATCCAACCTAAAACTAACTTCACCGCAGTAGAAATCTTCTGTCGTCTGCTATTTTTCACGGAAGCTGGTAAAAAGCACGGATCAGCACCAGGATCGCCATACGTAGCTTTTTTTTTATTTTATTATAAATTTGGCGTGGGCACTGGACACTGCTTGTCCTGAGCTGTGTATTATTTTATCACTCAATACATTCAAAGTCAAATTTGGCCTCGAGTACATCGTCTTCGGTACAGTTGACAAGAACAAAAGCAGTGGAGGTGGCCATTTCTCATGCTGTTGGGCTCATTGTCTGACATCCGGGACTTTCGGAGTTTCCGGTAATACTTGTGACGTCATCTCGGACCAGCGCCATTGAGGCTTTCAGCAGCAGAAACAACTTTATTTTGTAGCTAATGCTAGCTGCCTGATACACAATATGAAGATTTTACAAACACTTTAATTTTTAAGCCTGAACTGCAATCCCGATTATTTTAGGTTCTCCGAGAGCAACACATGTAGAAACATGTCTTTTAACGAGAAGAATCTAATATAAAAATCTCAGCTAAAAAGTTTCTTATGTAAAGCTCTGCAGTTTGCTCTTGTTGACATTTAAAGAATTAAAACTACTTTTGTTATGGAAATCACAGAAATTTGTACAAAACACCTTATATTATACCATACCATACCCAATTTATTTATAGAGCACTTAAAACAGCAACAAGACCAACCAAAGTGCTGTACAAAAGAAAACAAACATGCACAGCGGACAGGAAAACATAAAATAAAAATACAGATACAAATAGCAGCAGAAGCTAACTAAAATGGCCAACAGTGTAGAGTACAGACAGGACCAAAACAAATCACACCGTATTAAAGGCAAGAGAATAGAAGTGGGTCTTCAAGCGAGACTTAAAGACTGAGAGTGTGGGAGCCTGCCACAGTGCCACACTACTCAGTGGCAACTCATTCCACAGTCGTGGACCTGCAACAGAGAAAGCCCTGTCAAACTTTTAAATGATTTTTAAATGGCCCATAAAATTTCATTCAGGTCATCTGACGTTGTTTAGTTTTTTTTTTTTTTTTTTGTTGAGACGTTTCATCCGTCATCCAAAGGACTTCATCAGTCTGAGGAGCCACAACTGGGTCCCACAAGCAGCACGCTCACATAGTGGATCAACCAGTTTGCTGGTGATAAGATGGTTTCTGGGGCCCATCCTCTCCCCCCATCGACTCCTCTGAGGCAGCCACAGCCAAAGTGGTTCAAAACATCACCGTCATGTTCAATAATCCAGGTAGAAAATGAAACAAAGTTCAGTCAGGTCATCTGGACAGTTTCTTTTTTTTTTTTGAGACTTTTCGTCCTTCATCCTGGCTATGGCTGCCTCAGAGGAGTCGACGGGGGAGAGGGCGGGCCCCAGAAACCATCTTATCACCAGTAAACTGCTTGGTCCACTGTGTGAGCGTGCTGCTTGTGGGACTCAGTTTGTTGTGGCTCCTCGGACTGATGAAGTCCTTTGGATGAAGGACGAAACGTCTCAACAAAAAAGAAACCGTCCAGATGAGCTGATTTAACTTTGTTGGATTTTTTACCTGGATTATTGAGCATGAACTTTGATGTTTTTAAACAGTATTATTAATTTTATTTTATTTTAATACATGGGCTCCTACTGGTTGCTGCTTTTTGTTTTGTCTCTTATAATGTATTTATTAATAATTTGTAAATTAGACTGCATAACTCCTATTTGTGTCGTGAATGAAGGCTTATAGGCCAAAACACAATTTTTATTTGCTTCTTGCTGGAGGGAACAAAAATCAGATAGTTTTTGAGGTGAATAACAAGTTTGAGTTTGTCATACTAAAGTTTAGAAGAGAAAGACGATTAGAGTAAAAACAGCCCGTTTCCCTCCAAAATGTTTACTTTGATTTCCCGTTTTCTTTTTCGCACAGTGATGTCAGGAAACTCGGCAGATTCGTTTTCAGAAGATTCAGAGGCGGAAGAACAGAAGGAAGAGGTTAAGGAGAAGATCGAGACGATGTCAAAGAAAAAAGGTCCGGGCCGACCCCCGAGGAAGAAGAAAGCTCCCGCTCCTCCGCCCACAGCCAGCCCACCAGTAGCTAACGACAAGAGGAGATCTACTCCAGTTAAATCAGGTACTTCACCGGGAACTGTTTGATTGTACGTTTGTTCGACTAGCTCTTATTTATTTACACTTTGAAACACTTTCCACAGGAAAGCGCGGCGTGCTGAAGCGTCCCTGGTCGGAGGCGGAGCGCGTCGCGGTTGAGACTCACCTGAAGAGGAACCTCTTGGATCTGCGAGTCCCAGCAAAGGCAGACTGCGAACGCTGCCTGGAACTGTGCCCCCTGCTGGTGAGCAACCAGCGAGACTGGAGAGCCATCAAGTTCTACGTCCACAACCGCATCCAGCTGCTGAAGAAGCAGGGGAGGCGGGAAAGCGCCGCCGCTGCTGTCAGCTAGGGCAAAAACCAGGTTGAGGAGGACAGGCACCATCATGTAAAAACCACCAGCAGCAGTGAGGATGGAGAAGAAAAACAGGTTCAAGTGTCTGGGTTTCTTTCTGTTACCTCCTGACGTTTAGGTGGACGTAAGGGAGACGTGGAATAAAAGCGAGTAAGCTAAAAAGGGGTGGGGGGCAGACGCGGTTAAGATAAAACATACTTAGTGTTGCGATTATCAGATGTCCGGTTTTTTGCATTTTAAAGTCATTGGACGAAGTGTATTTGTATGTGAATGCATTTTTTATTTTATTTTATTTTTTTTAGATCCTTTTTACGTCATGTTTACTTTTGTGAGTACAGTGAAAGTGGAAGAAATATGGGGGAGCGTGGGTAAAACCTGGCGTGATATGTGCGCCTGAACGTATCGCAGCAGATCGTCCTTTGTTTGACAATCTGCTTTCACTGAAAGCTTTTGACCAAACGTGACTGTGGAAAGCTTTGGGAGAACAAACCAGTTGATCTGATCAAGAATCTCCACTAAAAGACTACGAGAACCTGCATTATACGTGTTTGATGCTGACGTTGTGTTCCTACACACAAATGTATTATAAGTGTTCCTCCGTGTCACAGACCATGCTGCGCCTGTTAAGTGTTTCCTTGCATACCTCTTCACCAGGGGTCCCAACCCTGGTCCTTGAGGAACACCGTCTTGCATGTTTTAGTTTCTCTGCTCTGACACACCTGATTTTAATAAATGGGTGATTTACAGGCTTCAGCAGAACATGAAGTAATTAAATCACTGAATCGGGTGTGTTGGAGCTTGGAAACAACTAAATTCAGAGATTCTTTATCGTCATTCATGCCACATGTGGTGGAACGAAATTATGTACACAGGGCCCCAGTTACATCAAACAATAAATGTAAAAGAAAAACAGTAATAAGATCTAAGATATGAACTAAGAAAAACATCAGCTAAAAATATGCTTATCACTAATAGCATAAAAACAATATGCAAGATGATGTTCCTCAGGGACCAGTGTTGGGAACCCCTGCACTGCGCCACTGATCATAGACTAGTATGTGTCCAGGCACGCCTACTTGAATTTCTTGGGTATAATTTTTTTAATGTTATGTATTTTAGAGTCAACATATGGTCTTATTCATAATGTAAATACTTCCTAATTATTAAAAAAAAAAAGTATGCAGTAGCGGTAACAAATTTGGCAATGTGTTGTGTATATATTGTAAATACTATCTGTACTTATTAAAGTGTACGACATTTTCCTGTGTTTTCTTAAACGGGACTGTAAAGTGATTTTTGTATTGTTAAAAAAAAAGGCAGCAGCAAAATTGTATTTTAAGTATGGGAACAATTTATTGTGATAAATATGCAAAGTGACAGGAACAAGATATGAAAAAAAGGGGGGCAAATGGAGAAGAAAGTACCTGTGGCTTCCTTACTTCTGAGCCCATTTAACATTTATTTCTCAAACACAAATCTTTAAAGTGTCAAAGAGGATTAGGGCCTTAAAATCTCAAGAATTCTGAGAAAGCAGATCCTCTTCTGTATAAAAGAAACTAACGTCTTAACAATTGTGACACCAACTTTAGGACAGATTGGCTGCAGAGACGTAAAAAGCTACCAAAATATTTAAAGCCACAAGCACACTTTGTATTTGTTCTCAGATTATGTCTTTAAAACATTAATTTCATGATCTAAACTTTTTTCAGACCCTTTACATTGAAACATGGAACCAAAAACAAGCATATTCCATCACATTAAAAGAAAAAACATTTCGCTGCACTTACTAAAACTCACGGTGTGAAGTGTTGCCGTCGTGGCTGATTGGGACTAATGAGCTGCCGTTAGTAAAGTCCATCATCACCCAGAGAACTGCTCGTCCTGACCGATTCAGATTGACCATCTCTGTACTGGACAGGTTTTACTAGATGAGTTACAGGGCTGCCTTTCAAATATTTAAGCTGTTTTTTTTTTTTTTTACCAAAATATAACAAGTTACAGACTAAAAGTACAGACAGTTGAGGTTGAAGTCCGCTTACAGTCTACAAAATCACATTTTTAAATAAAAAACCTTCATACAATACTACTTTTAGTACATTATAACAGTCAGTGATTCAACAAGTTTTAACATATCTCATAAAATAAAAACCAAAACATAGTCAACTAAAACTGGCCCGATATAAAAAAGTCAGTACTTTCTGTAGGTATACACAACAAAATTGTTTTAGATTAGGTTAGTACAAAAACTTCAAAGCCAAACGAGGTTAAAACATTTGCACTAAGGCACCAAAGGTCCCCTTTATAGATGATTTGTTTTTTTCACAATTAGACGTCAGTAATGTTTGATTTACCAGATCTTTTTACCTGTACGCTCTACGTAGAGCAAACTACAATTTGTACATTTTGATCAGTTGCCTTCGTCAGTTCAGTGTTTAAACAGCTCAACAGCTGCAGCCTGACCTCAAACAAGTCATTTCTACTCGCTCTGACCTCACTGGTGCACATGACAATTCTGTGCAAGAGCGCCACTGCTCGTGTTGTTTCGTGCCTGCAGGAAGGCCCGATCAATTTATACTTTTATTTATACTTTATAACTACGTTTTAGCTCAAGATGTGGTTCAGATAGTCATCAAAAGATTCAGGCTTTTGAAGTACGGTTTTTAGAAAGTGGTAAATAGCAAAAAGTCAGTTTTCATTGAAAATTACAAGAATTAAATGGAAACACCAGATAGACAGCGCTTATTAATAACTGAGCAAAGAATTATTTAAAACACGAGTAAATCGTTTGGAACATCGTATACAGGTCAACAAGCTATTATACAGTAAAACAGACATCTATATCAAAGGCCTGGACAAGCAACGACCTTGCATAAGCTTTGACCTTGATTGGTGACCCTGACCGTAGCACTTCGTCTAGTGATGATGCATACGTGTATGAAGTTGCATTAAATTATTTTGAGCGGATCAGAAGTTTTAGGCGGGACACAAAGAAAGATTACGGACAGACGTAGACTATACAGTGGTCCCTCGCTACTTCACTGTTCGTTTTTCGCTCTATTGCGGTTTTTCAAAGATTAGACATGACACACAACTGGCTAATTGATGGATGAGCCACGCGATCGGCATGGAGATTTTATTTAAAATAAATTATTTTAAATTATTTAGCACCTGCACAAGAGAAGCTTCCTCCTGTCAGATGTCCGCTCTGTAGCAGAGAAGTGGGCGTGGCTGAGAGCGCTGGCAGGTGGCAGAGAGCTGAGATCATGACATGCTGTGCTCTTTTAGAGCCTTTAGAGTTTAGAAAACAGTTCGGGACATTGCAAGAGTGTGGGAAGGGTTTAAAACGCCTTAATATATACCTATATATAGGGCTGGACAATAATCCGATATCGATATATATCACGATATACTTTTATTCAATAACGGTGATATGAGTTTTAAGTTACATTTTCAATATTTTGATATGATTACAGCGTTTCACTGGCACATTTCTTTTTCTGTTCAGGTTGAAGCGACCACTTCAGTTTCAACACGAACAGAAAAAAGGTGCGACACAACTACGTAAGTGCGTGGTGACGTAGATGTTACGCAGAGCTCGAGTCCAGAAGGCGTTAGCGGTAGCAGGCTAGGCTAGGCTAATCTCCAATGTGCATTAAGTTTTCACTTCAAAATGAGTGCCCATGGCCGTCAGAATGTGACTGAACAAGCTTTCACGAGCGAAAAGAAGCAGGTGACATAATTGATGAGAGGAAAGACTAATTCGGCGGTGCGGAAGTGGTTCGGCTAGCTAAGATTCGATAAACTGCAGGTTTCAGTCATGCTGCAAAATGTGACGGAGAGTCGTTCCAAGTAGCGATAGGAACACATCTAACTTGTTCCACTCGATAGAATATGCTGAGAGTTAGAAAATGAAGCACAATAAACGTTTGAGCCAATGTGTCCCCGAAACAACGCCCCCAGCTGTATCCTAAGAGAAACATGGGTTAGGTCATGTTGTTGTTTAACGTTAAAACTATTAATATTGACAAAGTTGAGAGTTTTATGTTTATTTGACAGTGATTTCAAATTTTTTTGAAGGCTCAATACAAATAAAAGGTGAACATTAATTTATTTGTACAGTTTATACCAATATCGAATTACATCGTTATCAACCGAAATTAAGAAATATATCGTGATAAAAGTTTTGGCCATATCGTCCAGCCCTACCTGTATATAAATACTAAAATTAACTACTACTTCTACTTGTGTACATAATTTTGTTCTGTCTCGCGTACCACATGAAACGGTAATGACAATAAAGTTTACTTGAACTTGGGACTACTGTATCCCTACTTCACGGTTTTTCACTTATTGCAGTGTGTGGTGGTGGTGGTGGTGGGGGCGTGGTTCCAAACCCCAGCGATAAGTGAGGGAATACTGTACCATAATATGACCGCCTTTCAATGGGCATATAAAAATGCAAGTATAAAGAGTACTAGCTTGGTCTTCACTAGTATTTAGGACTTTAGCATGTCAAATAAAATATAAGTTTTTTTAGCTTGGAAACAGGGAAAGTTTCTTTTAATTGTAAATTGGACCAATTTTAATACAGTCATTTTAATAATCTCGTACCAGTTCTTAAACTTATAGTAATACATGTTTTGCTACTCGTTCATAAAGTTCTCCAAGTCACGAGCCAAATCCTGCTTTGCCTTCTGAAATATCTCCATGGGGATTTGGTCGCCTTTCCCAGGGTTGAAAACTGGAAACACTTCCCCTGTAAATGTAGCTGCCAAAGATCCAATCAACCGTTCCTCTTCCACGCTATAAAAGGACAACTCGCCACTGTCGTAGTCCAAAAACACACCTATTACTTTTGGTCTTGACTGGAGATGAATAACCACCTCGGGTTCGGTGCTAAACTGAACCATTTCTTCTCGATTAGGTGAAGAAGACAGGAACCAGAAACCGTTGGATGTGTTTGGAGAGAAACTTGCGTCCTGAGGGATTTCAGGTTTGTTCGTAACTCCAATCCACCAGGACTTCTTGGGGTCTAAGGAAGGACGGCTCAGCAAAACCTCCCAGTAGTGTTGTCCAGAAGAGAATCCAGGCGTTCCTCTGACTGCTGTAAGACAGGTAACCCTGTTCCCGTCTGGAATCGTTAAACTGTCTCGAAGAAGAGATTCCTTGATTGCTACAAACTGATTATTTGTGTCCACAAGTTTGACATTTGCTGTTGGAAGATTAAAAAACTTGGTTGGAATCACATGAGTCGTAAAAATGTTAGAGAAGATCGATGACCAATTCATTTCAAATTTACCATAACACTTGGAAGCCACGGACAGAGATGTTGGCTGCTTCATTCCTGGAAGGAAACAAAAGAAGACATCAGCCACTCTGTTTTGATTTAAAGGTTTCCGTTGGACTTTAATGATAGCAACACCTTTGAGTGACATCTTACCTTTGGACATAAGTGGTTTTGTCTCTGTGGGAAAAATACACACATATATTACTGTTTTTATATCATGAATAGAACTGCAAATCCATCACCATAAATATATAAAGATTGTCTGTAGCTTGAAAACACACCTTTGTTGATGGTTCAGGGGTGTCAAACTCAGTTACAAAGTGGGGCTCAAATAAAAATCTTGTTCTAAGCCAGCGGTTTGTTAATACCCAACATCTTTTCTTAGTTGCAGGTTCATCAACAAGAGTTTGATCGGTCTCGTTTTAACCGTCTGCGTTGTTCTTTCCACATCAGAATAAAAGATGACTGAAAATCAAACCATTTTTGTGGCTTCAAAGTTAGTCAGCTGCCACGAGGAGTCTGCACTAAATGAAGTATTTTGTCTGTGTTTTAAGCAAATCGAGAAATACCAGTTCATGCTCAATAACACTGTTCAGTCAGTTCATCTGGGCAGTTTCTGTTTTTGCTGAGATGTTTCATCCTTCATCCAAAGGATTTCTTCAATGTGAGGAGACACCAAAGTGGGGGTTGTAACCACTTTGGCATGTCTGTCTCAGAGAAGTTAGCGGGGGAGAGGGTGGGCCCCGGAGGCCATCTTAGCACCAGCAAACTGTTTTGTTTTTTTCCACTATGGAGTATGCTGTTTGTGCAAATCAGTTTGTTTGGTGTCTCCTCAGATTGAAGAAGTTCTTTGGATGAAGGACGAAACGTCTCAGCAAAAAAAAAAAAAAAGACAAAAAGAAAGAAACCATCCAGATGACCTGACTGAAAATAGTTAAAATCGAGAAATGATAAAAAATATTTAACATTATCTTGGCGAGATAGTAACAAGGGTCAGATTTGGCACACGGGCCTCGAGTCTGACGTGATCTAAATGGCATGTAAAGAGAATGATGGGAGTTTTCAATTTGCCTCTTTCAAAAAAAGCATTAACAGTATAAACAGTTTAAAGTAAAAATATATTTTTATGGGATCCCCGACTAGTTGGAACAATAGACCTCGACGACACAGAATCAGCAGGTTGTTTACGTTACAATGATTTCTGGGTAAATGACGCAGACAGGCGGCTCCGCTGAAAGCCCCATACAGCATGAACGTTAATTTTGCACATCGTCTGACAGAGAAGAACGCAAAAATGACTCATCCTGCAACTGAAGATGAGGAAAGCTGAACGGATGAAGAGGTGAGGAGAGAATCGTCCAAAGGAGCTGGTGGTTGAGCAGCTCATGCGAGAGCTTGTGCTGCAAAGAGCTCTGCTTTCTATTACAAGCTGTTCACAACAAACAGTACCAAAACAGATTCTCATGTATATTAGCACGCTGAGGTGCACATTATTTAATAATAAACACTTGGGAATATTTTGTTGGCACTTTACACATCCATTCAGCACCTGCCACTTTTAATAATTTGGGTCACGGATGTGCTGGAGCCAAGGTAAAGTTAAACTTGGTTCCACCCGGACAACAGAGCAATACACAACACTTAGCACTAGGCCTGTCGCGATAAACAATAAATCCATTAATCGCACGATAAATTAAAATTATCGACCTCGTTTTCATTTGTTCGGCTTTATCGTTTCGTCGTGTCTCTCTCTTTCTACTGAAGACACTGGATCAAAAGGCTCAACTCTGATGCTCTTCAATGAACCCTCCCTTTCTTGTTTCTCTTTTAAATCTGTTTTAACCGTCCAAAATCACGTTTATGGATCGATAAAATCAGCTAAGCTGAGAAGCTAAGCTACGAGCTAAGCTAACAGGCCGACCTCGGGGAAAAAAACCTCTGTCTTGTCAAAGCTCCAAAATTCACAGTTGAAACACGTGCCTTCGTGTAAAAAGTTGTTTTTCTCTGCAAAAAGAAGATGATAACTTGTTTATTTATTTTTATTAAAAGATTTGCTATGCTAAAGAGCTCAAACCACACCGAGCATCTGCCATTTTGAGAACCGGAGAGACAGCCCATGTCCTGTCAAGAAGCCTCCCTCCCATTTTTCTTAAAGAGACACGCTGCTCACTCCCTCACTTTCCATCCTTTGGTTCAAATAGTCTTACACTGCCATCCAATGGTCAATAAAATGTACTACACACAAAAATCAACCAACATTTCTTCTTAAATTTGACAGTTACTAATTATTGTCAAATTTCAAACAATATTATCGTTTATCGCAATAATTTCTGGGACAATTAATCGGCCAGCAAAATTTGTTATCATGACAGGCCTGGGTGATAGTTGTCCGGTGCTGCCCCACTGATGGAGGACAGCAGAGCTGTTTTGTAGAAGGTGTACCTCAGCTTTAGCCTTTTAGCATTACCGTTAGCACCAGAGCAAATATATAATGTGTTAGCTCCAGAGCTATTATACTAAACGTCACAAGTTGATCACTCTGGATCGTTTCGACCCATATATTGTGAATATCAGAATAAGGACTACCGGTAATACTTTTCTACTTGTCCCAAAACTGTATGAAAATGTTACACTAAACACGTAGAAACGTCGCTTCTTAATGAGCGAGAGACAATAAATAGCTGTTTTTCCTACCTTCAGTTTGGTCACCTTCTGGTTTGGACTCAGCTGAAACATGAAAAATATTTTAAGGTTTGCAATCTGTCAACAGACACAATAAAAACATCACTTACCCTGCTTTTTGAAGTACAGCGCTGCAGCTACAGCTACAGCTAACGCTAGAAGTATCCCGAAAGCCACCCATCCAGCTGGGGAGGAACCCGACGCTGAAAAGAAAACAAGAACAGTTGCATTTCTGTCTTTCATTATAGAAAAACAGCTCCTCCATGTGTGCAGCCAACTTTTACCTTCTTGCTGTGATCTTTTAGGGCTTCCCAGGCGCATTCTAGCCTGTTTTGTCTCTTCCTTAGAGAGACCAACAAAGCAGGATACCTCAGACGAGTCGGGGACAAGAAGCCAGCTGTGGACTGAAAAAAGACCAGCCAGGTCCTTGGTATAAACCAGATTACTGTTGATCAGATCTTTATTCCTGTCTGACCAGTGCAGCTCAGGCTGAGGATACCAGCCTTCAGACTCACAGCTCACATTCACCATGTCACCCTTCCACACAGCAGACAGAATGGGGGGGGTTCCCGTTTCTGCAATGGAACAAAGACTGTTTGACGCAACAAGTCCTCTAATAGAAATTGTGTATTTATTCCACCTGTATTCCACCCACCTGTCACGTGCAGACTCACACTTGAGCTGTCATAATCTGTTGAGCTGCTGACATAACACGTGTAATTCCCAGCGTCCTCAATTGTGACATTTAGCAGCTTCAGGCTCACATCGCCTGCCTTCAGCCCGCCGGACGCCGTGTCCTTAAAACCGAAATCGACTCGGCCAGCGTACAAAGCTTTCTGGGATTCGAGCTGAAACATTTTTGACTTGAAATGCATGACAGGGGTGTCATACTGATCACTGCCGCGGTGCCAGAGTACCTCCATGTCCTCTGCGCTTCGTGATGGATGGAGCCAGCAGGGTAACGTGGCTGTCAGGCCGCGCTGCACTGAGACCGGAGGCCCAACCATGACGGCAAAGTGCTCTGAAAAACCCACATAAATCAAGATTAGGCTCATCTTCTTCTGATTTGTTGGTGGAGTTTATATAAAAAAAAAGAGGCATTTTGTGCATTGCATTGTATTTTCCGCTGTACACATCGTACCGCCTTATAGTCCAAATATGTCTAATAAAGTGGAAATATCCGTAAACATGTTGCTTCGCCGTATACGTCGCATCTATTATGCATCACCGCTGACGCGTCGCGTTTCTTACGAGTCACCGCTAACCCGGAAATGTGGGCCGGTGTTGCGCCAAAAATCGAATGGCTGACAAATGGCAGCCGCGTGCACGGGAGGACTTTAACAAGAATTTAACAAGATTAACACTTAAAAGCAATTATTTGTTTGCTCGAAATTAGAGCAAAAGCGCGTCTCGGTCTAACTTTTCCATAATAAATGCACTTTGATGGTCCAATCAGCTGCGTTTTCAAAAGCCGATACGCGGAAACATGAACGCGCACAGGGCGACTTTTTGTGCATTTCTTTGAAATTTAACAAGATTACCACCTAAAAACAATTATTTGTTAACTCGATTTAATAATAAAGGTGTGTCTCAGTTGAACTTTTACTTAATAAATGCACTTCAGTGGTCAAATCAGCTTCATGCAGCGAAATGAAGCTGATTTGATGGTTGCTCCAGGCAGATGAAGGTGTCAGACTATGGCAAGCCGATTGTGTCATTAATAGCCACTTTTACCTATTACATGATACAACGGCATGCCATACTACTCGACCAAAAAGCCCAAGGCAGAACTCACATTGCCTCTTCCCTCATGCTGAACGCCCCCCCGCCCCCGCTCAAAAACTGTTAGTACAAGCTGCGCTCAGACATGTCTCTGTCCCCCCCATCAGCAAAAATCATGGATGAGATAAGCACCCCGCCATGGCAAGCTAGCTGGGGGAAACACTGATCCCTATACAAGCGGTGCAAGAGTTTGGTTCGCATTGTCGGTAGTAAGTCGAACCCCTTCAGGGTGGGAGATGGACTACCCCCCAGGGCTGCTCGTTGTCACTGATTCTGTTCATAACTTTTATGGACAGAATTTCTTGGTGAAGCCAGGGGGGCGGAGGGAGTCAGGTTCGGTGGCCTCAGGATTCCATCTCTGCTCTTTGCAGATGATGTGGTCCTGTTGGAAAGAAAGGAAATGACGGGGGTGGGGTAGGACTGTCGCGATAAACCATAAATCAATTAATCGCATGATGAATGACAATTATCGACCTCATTTTCATTGCCGGCTTTATCGTTTCTTCGTGTCTCTCTCTTTCTACTGAAGACACTCAACTCCGGTGCTCTTCACTGACCCCTCCCTTTATCTTTTCTCTTTAAAATCTGTGCTAACCGTCCAAAATCACGTTTTTGGAACGTTAAAAGTAACTAAGCTGAGAAGCTAAGCTATGAGCTAAGCTAACAGGCCGACCTCGGGAAAAAACCTCCGTCTTGTTTAACAAAATAAACTTGTTTACTGTTTATTTTATTAAGAGCTTTGTGTGAAAAATGCTATGCTAAAGCGCTCAAATCACCGAGCGTCCACCATGTCACCATGTTAGCCCATGTCAGCCCATGTCACGTCAAGGGGCCTCCCTCCCATTTTTATTAAAGAGACACGCAGCTCACCTATCCATCCTTTGGTTCAAACAGTCTTATGCTGCCATCAGGTGGTCAAAAAAGGTACTACACTCCAAACAATCAACATTTTTTCTAAAATTTGACTATTAATTATTGTTAAATTTAATACAATATTATCGTTTATCGCAATAACTTCTGAGACAATTTGTCGCCCAATTTGTTATCGTGACAGGCCTAGGGTGGGGTCTGTCTTTCCCCATCATATCCCAGAGACACACAACAGGCGAGCGCGCAACAGAGCCTCGGAAAAAGAAAGGCAAGGGCGGGGGAGTCTGTCTTACACCTGAGTGAGGCGCACAAGCGGCATGGATTGTTTATTTAAAATAATCAAGCGTGAACATTGTTAAGAACATTGTAAGAGTGTGTGAAGGGTTTATAAAGCCTTAAAATATTATATAAATACTAAAATAAATAGAACTTCCCTACTTGGTGGATTTTCACCTATCATGGGGGTGTCTTGAGCGTAACGCCCACGATAAGTGAGGGACTACTGTATATCTATTTTACTCATTGACATATAGTATTGTTTTTTTTTTTTAATCTATTACAGTGCTTGAGAGGCTCAAGGAGGATGGTAGAGATGCATCTGGCAGAAAATCTATGGATGCAAGAAGAGTAGATATGTCAGCAATCCAAGACGAAATGATGTTTACTTATAAAAAATATAATTCAGAAGCCATAAATCCATGAATGTCATTCTCCAGTTGTCAGGTGAAAACCTCTGTGAAAAAGTTCACTACACAAGGAAGAGTTTCCAGAATGTTCTAAATGAGATGAGAGCGTAAGCTCCAGTGTATGATCTGAGTCCTTTAAGGGACTAAAGTAGTTAGAAACAGGTTTTTTTTTTTTTTTTTTTCAAAGTTCATGCTCAGTTATCCAGGTACAAAATCCAATAATGGATTCCTCCGGATATATCCTCCAGATAGAGGGCGAAACATCTGTCCACAAAAAAAAGAAACTGTCCAGATGACCTGATTGACCATTATTGGATTTTGTACCTGGATGATTGAGCATGAACTTTGATGTCTTGAACCACTTTGGCTGTGGCTGTCTGCCTGGGACAGGACAACCTCCAGAAACCATCTTATCTCCAGCAAACTGATTGTACTGCTTGGTGGGAAGAACAGTTTACTTGGGACTCCTCAGACTGATGAAGACCTCTGGATAGAGGGCGGAACGTCTTTCCATAAAAAAAAAGAAACTGTCCAGAGGACCTGACTGACCATTACTGGAGTTTAGATTTTTAGTTGTGGGCTTCTTTCTACTGCATTCTACATCACTTTGCGCCGTTTCTGTTTCGTTTTTAAATATAATTTTTCTTTCATTTATTTTCCCCAATTTATATGCGTTCTTTTATGATTGTCTACGATTATCACTCTTTGTTAAAATCAGGTTTCTCTTGTAAGTGAGTCCTCGAGACTCAATGAGACTAACCTGTATAAATAAACGTTGATGAGTGGCCTGGAGTGGGAGAGGGGAATGTTTTATCAGTGCCCTGAGACGACTTCTGTTGTGACTTGGCGCTATATAAACTGAACTGAATTTTCATAGCAGTTGGACATACTAGGGGCCCCCCACACAGCATTTTGCACAGGGCCCCAAAAAAGCTATTTTTTGGCCCCATACAAGCCAAGAAATGAAGTTTTACAAAAACAGAAGCAGAACCTCTAAAAGAACAAAACGCAGTGTGTTGGCTGGTTTTAGGGACTTACCTGGAGCAGCGAGGCAAGGTGAAAGTAAAAATACCAAACACCACAAAAGATTCACGAGTCCTGGAAATGAACGACACAACATGACAAGCGGGTTTTTACACCCTAATGTCGAATACATGTGTCTGAATAAAAACAGCAGAATAAAAACATAATGTAATTTCGTTTTTGTTATAAACAGGTTAATGAGAAGCGACAAATCTCGGCCTACCCATGATTACTGCGCCTTTGAGGTGAAACAGCCGCTTTCCTCCTTAAAGAAACGAGATCCAGGAATAATTCTCATCCAGACTAGGTGTTAATCTGAAGACAGCCAGGTCTTTATCGTTACAGCTCAGATTTACAAAAAAAAAAAAAAAAAAAAAGAAGAGTAACGCGGTGTTTGAAGGGGAAATGTCCGTTAAAATACACAGTACTGTACTTTCATTTTCTGTTTTTGTGACCCGAGTTATTCTGTTCCGCCACCAGAGGGCGCGCGAGGCCGCTCTGCTGTTTCTCAATGAAAACGAACAAAAAATTAAACTAAATGAGTTGTGCCACTGTTATTATTAGTTTGTTTTTATTGTATCAGAAACAGTTATGTTGTAACAAGTATGGCAGCTGACAGTCATACACTGGGCAAGACCTTAGCTTAAAACTTGGGCATTAACTGTTGAGAGTCAACTCTAGTCTGTCTGTTAGCAAAATATCTCATGAACCAATGAATGGAGTTGGATAAATCTCATAGACTGTAATCACTGGATGAGCAGCTACAGCTGATTCACTGTTGGAATCAACTCGATTAAATATGGCCGCCACGTTTAATCAAACTTATCAAACACATACATGGCTCTAATTCAATACATTTTACAGATCATGAGCTGAAATTTGGAGTGGTAGTAGCTGGGAGGCATTCATAAAGTATAGTCTGAGATCTATACAGTGTATGGAAGCTTAGCCTAAAAAAATGGCATTTACTGTTTGAATCATCCCCCTTGGATTGTTAGCAAAATATTTCCTGAACGATTAGACGTATTTTAATGGGACTCACAGAAATTAATCACTGGATGTACGTCCAGAAACGATTGACTTTTGGAGCCAACCCGATTCAAGAAGGCTGCCACGGCTAATTAAATTTAGCAGACACATGAAGGGGTGCGACACGGTCTATTTTACGTGTATGGAGATTAAATTTGGTGTGGTAGTAGCTGAGAGTCAGATCACAGGTGATAAGCATTCCTCCAAGGCTAGGCCTCCTATTTGATATATTATGTCGATTCTTCAAATTATTTATTTACGACATTGTGATAGTAGTGAGAATATGGAACAGGTGGAAGAGAACCTGGAGAGGTGGAGGTTTGCTCTGGAGAGAAGAGGAATTACACTCAGTAAAAAAGAGAGAAAGACAGAAGCTGCATGGAGTAGATATGAAGGTGGATGAGTTTCAGAACCTGCGGTGACCCCTAAACAGAAAATATTTATTTTATTTATTCATTAGAAATTTGCTGTAGGGTAAAATCAAAATCAATGCTTGTTAAAACTGGGGGACTAACCTGTATAAACAAAGGTTGAATGAATGAATTATGGACACAGTCTCTTTTTTTACATGGCACAATAAAATATATATAAAAAATGTTTCCACTGTACTATACCCTTTGTCCAGTTTTCTATTAAAAATAATTTAACTTTTAATGAAAAGTCCATTCACTACGTTTGAAAAAAAGCATCAGGGATCAGAGTACGAAGCGGACAGCGGTGTTTACGTTCTCACGTGACAGGCATGCAAACGTCAAGCTAAATATTCAACCAGGAATTATCCGGATATGGTTACAACTTGCCTTCAAAATAAGAGCACGCAATTGGCAACGGTGGAAAAGGATCACCAACACATACACGTTTCTGAAATGTTGTATATTTCACAGATTAATAAAACTTTTATAATTGGACTGTAACAAACCGTTTGGGGGGGGGGGGGGGAGACAAAATTATTGAGCGTGCTTTGTTTTATTTTGAAACGTTTTACGGATGTCACATTTCAGTAATCGTTCACTTAACAGTAAAAGAGTCTCAGTCCAGTTTGTCAGGTTTTCTGTCGACTGTCATCTTCCAACTTCTCGCTATCGGTTGTAAATGTATCCGCTTAACACTGCGTTCGGTTAATTAATTGCCAGGAAAACATGTTGGCTTGTGAGATATTAATTTTTCTTGTTAGCGGACACTACAGCTAGCTTTACGGAATAGCTGGAGTTAGCGTTCGGCTGTGTGTAGTTCACTGACCCTCGGCTACATGGCGACAGGAGCAGAGGCATAAATTTACTGTTTTGACACACAAAAAAAAAAATGTCCCGTATTGAGCCGGACGTCACCACTCCGTTGCTCCGGGATGATACGTTGCTCCGGGATGATACGAGCAGGTGAGTTCAGCATCGAGCCGTGGAGTGCCATGTTTACTTAGTGGAGGCGCGTTTTTCTGGGATTGTCAAGTTATAAAATCCCTACTTTTGTGTTAATTTGAGCAGCGATGACTCTCAGGATGAGGACTACAGGAGCCGGTGGAGGTCAATCCGAGTCATGTACTTCACCATGTTCCTCAGCAGTGTAGGTGAGGACTCTCAACCGGCCAACTGGATTTGAATGTTTTGAAGTGCGCGAGGACAACACGGGCTCGTGCTGCAAATGTATGGCAGGCCGTTCCGTCATATAATCAAACTGCACTTCTATTAACAAGTTCTACTTTAGGTTTATTTTTTATTTGTTTGTTGCATTGTTGAGCATTGTGAGTTACTTCTTCATGGAGAATATAGTTAAATAAATGAAGAGGAGTTCAGGAGTTTCAAATTGAAGTAAATAAAAAGTCACTAAATTTGTAACTTCTAGAAGCAAATAATTAAATTAAAGCAGACCTTGGGTCCATTCGTATGGTTTTGCTTCCATGTTGGGACTTTTTCAGGCCTGACAAAAACAAAACCAGAACTGACGAGAACATAAAATATGTTTCACTTATTTGAGTTTAAACAGTTAGAGGAAAACAAACAAATAAGTCCATTTCTAATCGTTTTTCAATGATTCTTCCGAGAACTTCAGCTTGTTTTTCCTCTTTGAAAGTTCTTATTGTCAGCAGTGTTCTCATATAGACATAACTGATAATAAATATTTACTTAAAAAAAAAAACTCTACTTACAATTTAGTTTGTTTTGCTTGTGTGGATTAAAAATCTCATGAAGAAGAATACATGTAGAAGCTTGATGTGTGGTACTGACATTTTTAAATCTACAGCCTCAAGAGGAAAAAAATACTTTTTAATAATATTTATTAGATTTTAGATTTAATTGTTTTTTTTTTTTATAAATAACCAATTTTCAAATGTGAACGTCACTGACCAGTTTGTCTCCATAGCAGCACGAGTAAACATCTTTAAAGTGGAGTGAAAGAAGTAGTTAGCATCTTACCTGTTCTAGACAAAACTCCTATTGGATGGAGTTTGTAAACACAGGGGTAAACTCTCATTCAGGGATAAAGCTAACAGCCAGTCAGATCAATCAGCCATATTTAACAAAAACAACTTTCAACCTCTACTCTTTCACATGAGACTGTTTAGTTTAAAGGTGTCACTTTTGCAGCAACACAGAAAATGATTTGTGTTTGTGCTGCTCGAATGAGAATTTATCTTTGCTTCTACTAACTCAGTTCTCTCAGGCTACTACAGGTAAGACACTTACTACCGATACCCGCTTCACAGAAGCCTATTCCTAAAACGCCAAACTGCAGCTTTAACAGTGTATAGGCAACAGTCTCAAAGAGTGCATGTTGATACTAATTAAACATCACTAATGTGTGGCATGGAGGCTGCACAGCTGCAGAAAGAAAAGTTTTGCAGAGAGTGGTGAAGGCTGCACAGATGTTGGAGTCAGCCTCCCCACCATCACAGACATCTATTTACACCTCCAGATGCAGGAAGAGAACCACCTGCATCATGAAGGACCCCACTCACCCAGCACACACACTTTTTGTCCTGCTCCCCTCAGGCAGGAGGTTGAGGAACATTAAGTGTAGAACCACTAGACTGAGGAACAGCTTCTACCCTGAGGTTGTTATACTCATGAACATCTAACCAGAATAATCACTGTAAGGAAAAACAAATCACCGTTATTACACTTTAATTGATGATATGTCACTTTATCTGTGCTGCTGATTTCTTGCCTTTAAGCTGCTGTATTCAAACCCATCTGCTCATAACAGACTCATGTCCAGGCTGCTGTTTAATACACCTTATTTATATTATATTATTATTGTTTAGTGTATATCTTAGATCCTTGTTACTGTTTATTTTTTATACTTTATAATTTTGTTATTTTGGGGTGTACCTGGGACCGTGAGTACACAGTTTTATTCCACCACATGTACCACACGTGATGCAAATGACAATAAAGAACCTTGACAGGTTGAAAAGTTCACAAATTAATGTTTTTTTAGGACCATTGGTGACAACAGAACCACTCTGCTAACAGAACCAATCTGCTAACAGAACCATACTGCTAACAGAACCATGCTGCTAACAGAACCACGCTGCTAACGGTACCATACTGCTAACAGAACCATACTGCTAACAGAACCACGCTGCTAACAGAACCATGCTGCTAACAGAACCATGCTGCTAACAGAACCATGCTGCTAACAGAACCATGCTGCTAACAGAACCACTCTGCTAACAGAACCACTCTGCTAACAGAACCAATCTGCTAACAGTACCATACTGCTAACAGAACCACGCTGCTAACTGAACCAATCTGCTAACGGTACCATACTGCTAACAGAACCACGCTGCTAACAGAACCATGCTGCTAACAGTACCATACTGCTAACAGAACCACGCTGCTAACAGAACCATGCTGCTAACAGAACCATGCTGCTAATAGTACCACGCTGCTAACAGTACCATGCTGCTAACAGAACCATGCTGCTAACAGAACCATGCTGCTAACAGTACCACGCTGCTAACAGAACCATGCTGCTAACAGTACCATACTGCTAACAGAACCATGCTGCTAACAGAACCATGCTGCTAACAGAACCATGCTGCTAACAGTACCATGCTGCTAACAGAACCATGCTGCTAACAGAACCATTCTGCTAACAGTACCATGCTGCTAACAGAACCATTCTGCTAACAGAACCAATCTGCTAACAGAACCATTCTGCTAACAGAACCAATCTGCTAACAGAACCATTCTGCTAACAGAACCATTCTGCTAACAGAACCAATCTGCTAACAGTACCAATCTGCTTTTTGTGCTTTTTTTTGTATTTTTGTTGCATGCTTTGGTATTTCTTTCTTTTTTTATTGACGATTGGAGACAGTTTGTCCTGAGCATTTCATTGCTTTGTTGACTTTGACGTTGACTATGACCATTGTTGACCTTGACCATTGTTGGCCTTGACCATTGTTGACCTGCATATGATAATAAACATAACCCTAACCTGTCTGTGTTTCATGTTTTCTATCAGGTTTCACCATCGTCATCACATCTCTGTGGCCCTATTTGGAAAAGGTATGAATCGTGCAACATTCCCGGGGTGAACATTTGTTTCCTTTTTCTTATTTTATGTAAAACACACTGTTGTAGTTTGGGCAGCACGACGGCTCGGTGGTTAGCACTGTTGCATCACGGTAAGAAAGTCGGGGGTTCAGTCCCCGGTTTGGACCAGGTGTCTGTCTGTGTGGAGTTTGCATGTTCTCCTCGTGTTTGCCGTGGGTTTTCTCCGAGTACTCCGGTTTCTTCCTGCATGTTCGGCTGCTTTCAGGCTCAGGGCTTCCTTACTAAAGAGATCTGTGACCTCAGCAGGACTTGCCTGGTTGAATAAACGTTAATAAATAATTTAGAAGCCGCGCTGTCGGAATAAGGAAGGAAGTATTTTGTGTATTTTGCATAAAGCAAAAGTTCACAAGTTGTACTGAAACACTTTTTTTTTAGCAATTCTGAAAACAAGAAATGAAACTGAAAAGTTAAATTCAGTCAGTTTAAGTTTTTCAGTTGGACGTGTGAAATATTGTTTACAATTAAATGCCCAGCATTTTTTGCAGAAATGCGTCACTGCTGCCTCTCATGCCCGACTGAGATCATCCTGATGAGAAGGTTAATGCCATTATGTGCCATCTTATGTGAAATCTGTTGGTGCTCAGTATGTGTTGTGAAGGACTCTCAGCTACTACCACACCTTATCTGAACTCAGTATATGTAAATCTGACTTAGTTAGAGCCATTTACACGTTGTCTATGAGCAGTTAGCTGCCGTAGGCATCTTGAATTTGATTGGCTCTAAAAGTTAATCAGTTGTAGATGCACACCCATTGTTTACTTCCTGGGAGTTTTATTAAAAATCTATGCAGTGGTTCTTAAAATATTTTGCTAACAGACAAACAAGGTTGACTTTGACCGTTAATGCTAATGTTTTAAGCACAGATCTTGGTTAGAGCAGTCGTCCTCCAGTGGGGGAGTTGGGGGTTCGATTCCACCAGCAGTCACATGCCGAAGTGGGCAAGCCATACTTTATTAATCCCCAGTGGGAAATTTGAGGCTTCCAGTAGCATCTTCTAATTATACAGAAAAAAAAAAAACCACATGAAATAATAAAAAAGCAGAATACACAAATGTGAAAAAAGACAATATGCACATGTACAAGGTGGTACTACATTCATTCATGATTAACCTGTATATATGTATGCATACATATATACCTATGCATATGTACATGTGTATATACGCAGTGTACATATATGTGTATATATGTAGCATATATGTACACCTCACTGCCTCTGATATGTGTCCCATCGGCGTATGAATGTGTGTGGAGGTAGATGAGGGCACAGATTGCGCTGAGTATCTTGATGAGACTGACAGGATGTGTATAAGTACCTTGATGAGACAGACAGGATGTGTATAAGTACCTTGATGAGACAGACAGGATGTGGATAAGTACAGTCCACTGACCGTTGTTTCAGGTGGACAGCAGCGCCGACGCCAGCTTCCTGGGCTGGATGGTTGCCGCCTACAGTCTGGGTCAGATGGTGGCCTCGCCTCTCTTCGGCTTGTGGTCGAACCACCGCCCGCGTCGGGAGCCACTCGTCTGCTCCATCTTCATCAACCTGTCGGCGAACATCTACTACGCCTACGCCTACCTGCCAAGAACCAACAACAAGTACCACATGCTCATGTCCAGAGCCTTCGTGGGCTTCGGAGCCGGTGAATACTTTTACTTAAAAAAAAAAAAGTACCGTCTTCTTTAATACAAATGTCTCGCTTATGTTCTTTATATGACAGGTAACGTAGCTGTGGTGAGGTCATACGTTGCCGGAGCAACGTCTCTGAAGGAGAGGACCGGCGCCATGGCCAACATGAGCGCCTGTCAGGCTCTGGGTTTCATCCTCGGCCCTGGTACTTTTTAAAGACATGATCCAAACATAAAGAATTTTTTTTTTTTTTTAAAGACACCGATTTTCATGATTTGCTCCGTGTGTTTCAGCTCTGCAGGCGTGTCTGTCGTTCATCGGGGAAAACGGCGTCACGGTGAAGTTTCTGGACCTGCAGCTCAACATGTACACCACCCCGGCTCTGCTGGCGGCGGCGTTCGGCCTCGTCAACATCCTGCTGGTTCTGCTGGTGTTGAAGTCAGCTACTCGCCACGTTTCTCCTTTTTGTTTTTGTTTTATACGTTTCACAACGTGACAGCGGTGAACTCAGACGACCCGTTTAAAGATCATTGAACCGATTTTGTTGAAATATTTCAAAAGCTTGTCTAATAACAGTAAATGGTTATCAGATGTTTTTATTTTAGATATAGACGTGGTTATAAGATAAAAATGGAGTAAAATGATCAAACAAGAGAATATCTGGATTATTTCATTAAAACATCTGCAATTCTAAGATAAGTAAATTAAAACAATAAGTCTGGTCTCTTAGGACGCAGTTCTGTGGAAAGGTTATGAACGGTCAGTATCTTACCTGCTGCAGATAGATTTTTAAACATATTTTGGAGAAAGTTTAATTCTAACCAGACTGACAAGCTAACGGCTAGTCAGAGTGGCGACCAAAGCAGTTTGCTGTGTCTTTAAACAACTCCAACTTCAATTTTAAGTCATAATTAGTTCAAAAGTCTCGTCTTTTTCATTCCCGTCCGTTCACTGCAGCTACTTCTGGAGATTGTTCATGAAAACCTGTTTCTAGTTTCAGATGTTTATCTGATTGTTTGACATTTCTATTCCTCAAAAATGTGTGTTGTGATTTTTTTTTTTACTTCAGAGAACATCAGGTGGATGAAGAAGGACGGAACGTTCGAGCTATCAACGACACCGAAGAAGGTACATCATCTGGACTAAACACGGTCCACTGGACTGAACTAAATCCAGATGAATCAGATTCTGAGCTGTTTTATCTTTTTCATGTTTGAAATTATTATATTTTGTGTAATAATTCCTTTAGGATTACTTTTTTGTTATAATGACTCCTTTAGTTTTTATTTTTTTTGCCTATGTTAAAATAACCCCATTGCCTATAGACCGTTTTAGTCCCCCATCGCAGAGAAAAAATGGGAGGAGTGGGAAATATTCTCCTTTTGTCCGTCGGTCCGTGCATGTTGTCTGTGTGATATCTTAAAAAATAAGCAATGGGACAACTTCCATTTTGGTGTGCGGCTGCATGTAGGCTTAAGAAAGTTTCCTATTGAAAACTGGGTTGCCACGTCAAAATCCAAGATGGCCACCACTACAGTAGTCCCTCGATACTTCACGGTTCGACTTTCGCGGACTCACTCTTTCGCAGGTTTTCTATGTAAGATTGTACACGACAAACGATTGGCTGATTGATGGAGGGCAACCAACCAGAGAATTGTGCTGAGGGGTGGACTGGCCATCAGGAGCTCCGGGACATTTCCCGGTGGCCTGGCCCGCTCAGTGATCACCGAGGGGGCCCCTCCTTTCTCTTTCTGGGCTGCCTGTCACAGCAGAGCAGAGACACACAACAGGCGAGTGTGCAACCTGTTGTGTGTCTCTGCTCTGCTGTAACAGATTGCCTCAGAAAGAGAAAGGAGGAGGTGGGGTGGGGTTTGTCTTTCACTATCGCTGCTGTGGGAGCTTCAGTGAGGCGGATACCTGAGTGAGCGGCATGGATTTTTTTATTTAAAGTAATCAAGCGTGACACGAACCGAGACTTTAGTCCCACTCAGCAATCACTGAGTGGGCCAGGCCACCGGGAAATGTTCCAGTGCTCCCGATGGCCAGTCCGCTTCCGGGCACTGATTGGCTCAGTAACCGTATCATCAGTCTGTCTGCTCTCTTTCGCTGTGCTCTTTTAGAGAGTTTAGAACATTGTTAAGAACCTTGCAAGAGTGTGGGAAGAGTTTATAAAGCCTTAAAATATTTATAAATACTAAAATAAACATAACGTCCATACTTGGTGGATTTTCACTTATCACGGGGATGTATGGAATGTAACCCCCGAGATAAGTGAGGGACTAATGTGTGTATGTGTGTGTGTGTAAACTCACTACCCCAATCATTTGAGGAAACTATGCTTTCTAGTTTTATATTGTTTAAAATATAGTTTCCTCAAATGATAGGGGTGGCCGAAGTCTAACCTCTGGTGGACTAGACCACCAGTGGCCACCCCCTGGCTTCTCCACTGCACCTGGTGTTGGATTAAATTCCTCCATCTTCTAGGTTCGGTCATTCTGCGCCACCTTGGACAAGAACAAAAAACTACCTCTCTTCTTCTACACAGTAGAACTGTAACTCCTGCCCACTTGAATATCTTGCACCATAAACATTAAGGTTTGCACAATCTGTTCAATTCAGTCCAGAAAAACACTCATCTCAACACCTAAAAGCATTCTCTATTCAAATCCCTCAGCGCCGGGGGACATCGGCGTATTTCTTGTAATAATCCGAGTTTCAATAGAAATCAGGTCAACAGAAATCTTGTGGAGAGAGATTGTTGCAGCAAGGTGTGGTTTGTATTTTCTGTTCTCCAAAGGAATGGTAATTGTTCTTGTTAACATCCGGCCTAATCCTTCATAATCTGTGTTTGTAATGAAACAGTTTTCTTTCTCTGATAATCCTAACACAACAGCTTCTGTTTCAATCATACGTATACATAAGAAGGGTTGCTGTAAGACAGGAGTCCTTTTTTCTGCTTGAAGTGTGCTGTCAAAAAGCAGGCAATAACGTTTTTGTTTGTGTTAGCCAAATATCCCGAACTACCGGATAGAGTAATCATTGGATGCACATTTAAAAGTGATAAAAAAAAACTTTATGCAACTTTGTCAGTTTAACAAATGTTGGGATTGAATTAGCTGAGTCTGAGTCAGAGCTAAGCCTGATACCAGCCTCACGTACTCATACTTGTACTCTTAAAAACACCCCAATACTTCAGACCAATACCACTTTTATTCTTGGTGATGTGATTTCCTTTCTTACATTTTTCAAGTAGTCAAGGACGAAATATAAAAATGTCCAAAGTTTGGAGATATTTTAAGATAAACTAGCAGCTCTCACATTCACAGATGAGTCTGGAGGTCAGGTTCTGGTCCGGTTCGGTGGGTTTCGTGCGGCTCTGGACTCTTATTACAGTGACTTCGGCTCTGGATGCCGAAGTCACTGTAATATGCGCTAAACTTTTTCAGATCAGATCAAAACTTTCCCTTTAGAATTTCAGCTGAAGGAATTGGGGCTTCTGGGCGGGGCCATGTTGGCCTCTAGGAAATGTAGTCCTTATGAGCAGGGATACATTATAGGCGTATTGAGAGAAAACTACAAAATGGCGGCGCCTGTCCGAAGTACAGTAGTCCCTCGTTTATCGCGGAGGATCCGTACCCTGAAGCCCCGCGATAAGTGAAAAACTGCAAAGTAGGAATAGTAGTACAAGTGGTAGTTTATTTTAGTATATATATTTATATAGATATTAAAGTGTTTTAATTAAATCCTTCCCACACTCTTACAATATTTCTAAACTCTAAACGCTCTAAAAGGATGTCATGATTTCAGCTCCCTGCCTCCGCTGCTCTCAGCCACCTGCAAGCGCTCTCGGCCACGCCCACTTCTCCGCTCTGCACGCAGATCAGCTGATCAGCTGCAGGAGGAAGTTTATCCTGCAGTGTGGGCTGCACAGAGGTGCATCAGGTGCTAAATAATTTAAAATAATTTATTTTAAATAAAAATTCCATGCCGATCGTGTGGCTCATCCGTCAATCAGACAGTTGTGTGTCATGTCCACTCTTACTTTGAAAAACCGCGATAGAGCGAATCTGCGATAAACGAGCTGCGAAGTAGCGAGGGACTACTGTATTTTATTTTTTTGTTCACTTTTTACTGCACAGTATCCTGTACTGTCCCAATCACGTGAGTAATATTAAAGCTGACAGTCTTGTGTCGCGTACAATTTTTTTCCCTTGTGTTCATTCTTACTTGGAAAAACCGCAAAAGAGCGAGTTCACGAAAGTCGAAACACGAAGTAGCGAGGAATTACTGTATCAGCAAGTACCCAAACTGAAGTACTTGTACTGTTTAAAAAGAATGGGCATCAGGACACTCACCAGTCTGAGCTCTGATTGCATCTACTAATAATCCTTTGGAAGATGGCCGTCATAGCTGATCGACATTAGCTGCTGTGTGTGGTAGTTGCTGAGAGTCATCCTCAGCTTGAGCATGAGATCGTGTTTAAAGTTTTCTTTTTTTCAAAGTTTGACCAAAATGGCTGAAACTCCCTCACATCTCAGCGTGAGTTTAGTTCAACGCTGACGGGCGATGAGCGCTCCTTCAGCGCTCGTCCTTTATGTTATTTACTTTAACTGTTTACAGACGGAGTTGATCTCCTTGACGGATCTGAGGAATCCATCGACCAGCTCGCTGTCCTGACCTCCAACATCTTGTTCTTCATCGTCATGTTCATCTTCGCCGTGTTTGAAACGTACGTCTGTCTTTAAACGCTGCGTCGACGACCTCCCTGTCCGTCTCTCCGTGCACATAAAGTTCTGATGGTGTGTTTTTTGGGTCAGAATCGGCACGCCCTTGTCCATGGACATGTTCGCCTGGACGAGGAAAGAGGCTGTCCTGTACAACGGCATCATCATGTGTGCCATCGGCTTTGAGTCCATCCTGGTGTTTCTGGCTGTGAAAGTGGCCTGCCAGAGGTATGGAGAGTTGTTGACCCAAATAATATTCAGTGTTTCTGAATTTTATTCGTCACAAAAAGTTATGGCTTGTCTTTTCAGGTTTGGGGATCGTCCCGTGTTGCTCGCAGGCTTCTCGATCATATTCTGTGGTTTCATTATGCTGCTTCCCTGGGGACACCATTTCCCTAAAATCCAGTGGGCAGGTATTTCAGTTTTCCAACTCGTCAGGTAGTCACACTGCGTTTGATTAAAACAAACAGCTTTTGGCCTCTGTGTTGTCATCTGAAAACAGCTGAGTTTAAATTGATAGTTTAAATCATTTTACGCAAAACACTTGAAATTTGTTAATAATTATTCAACTTTTCTTCTAAAATTTGACGCCAACGATAGTCTGGTCAAGTCCTGTTGCCCTGATCTTGTCAGTCTGGCTGTAAGGCTGAGCTCACCCATCACTGTAGTTTCCACTTTATAGTCCTTTCAACATAAACTTTGGTGTCAGAAACTGACGCTGCAGGACAATCGGAGTAGTTTTGTTTGTTTCAAGAAAGTGGGCCGACTGGAAAAGCAATGTTAGGAAGCAACTTGGCGTGTCACAACAAGTAGCCCGTGAGAAAAAAATAAAACAAAAGTAAAACAGAAGTGTATTAATACCTGGAATTGACCCATTTAATCTAGACTTTGAATGGCACTGCCCATAAAAAGTGGAAAGGTTTTGAACAGTTAATATCCTACCTGTTGTAGATGGCTCTTTAAACGACCTCGGTTTGGAAAAATAGTTTACTTTGAGTTATTAACAAGCTAATGGCTCGTCAGAATGGGGTTAGGACCAAAATGGATCCTTGCTTTTTTTAAACCAACTCAAATGTCAAAAATTTTCAACGGTTTATGTCAGTGTTTTTCAAAGTGGGGGTCGTGGCCCCTTGGGGGGCCACCAGGGGGCGCTAGAGGAAAGCTGGAGAGAAGAATATAAAAAAAAGGCAAAAATAAAAAATAGTAGTAATAATAATAAAAATTGCCCACTAGGGCAATCTGTATCTGTTATTTCCAGATAAACACACTTGAGAGGTTATATTTCTTTTGCTTTGCTTTTCTGGTCAACATTTTGTTGAAAAGTTGTTGTTTTTTTTCAGTGAGACTAATATACAGTGTTTAAAACATGTTAGTTAATAACAGTTTTATGCTCAACAGCTGTAATAATTAATTGAATATAGTGAATACAAGTTAAAACATTCTAAAAGTTAATGTTTCTTTACATATTTTGTAGCATTGTTTGTGGGTTTGTGGGTGGGGCCTCAGTCACAAGCTAATGCTGTTTGGGGGGCCATGGCATGGAAAAGTTTGGGAACACCTGGTTTATGCAAATTTTATATTATACCTGCCATTTTCTTATTACACAGTAATTTACATAGAATTATGTGTTTGTTGCTGGCATAAAAGCAGCAGCAGCTAGCTGTAGCACTTCCAGGACAGCCGGAGACACTCCCAGCAGGAATATTAGAATATTTCTGCCAGAATAATTTGATATTGTGAAATTACCAGCAGTTTAAAGGTTTGTAAAATAGTGGTCGGATGAACCGCTATGCATAATTTAAGATTTGAAGCTCATCCGTTTGGCCAGAATTACAATCAAAGAGCTGTCTACGACAGGTAAGATACTAGCTGTTCATGACATTTCCTCTTCAAAACACTTGAATCATCACTTTGACCTACCCATGTCCTCATATGGGGACGCTGCTTCAAAACATTTTATTCAGTTTAGTTTAGACCAGTTGTCTTAAATCTGTGTGCTCACTTTTAATTTCTTTATATTTGTAACTTTTTATTCAATTTTTTAAATTTTGATATACTTGCTGCTGCCCCCGTGATATATATATATATA